TATATATTGTATATATATATATATTTATACACACACACACACATACACTCATACATAGCCAGTTAATGTTGTGGCATGTGAGCATGAGCCAAAGGTATTCGCATTCATATAAAATTCCATTTGTTATTGTTTGCCAATGCGATTTGTTGCGGTTTGCCCTCTTTTATTTATCCAACTAATTGCTTTTTAATTTTTATTAGAAAAGAGGTAGACAGAGAGCGAGAGAGGGTGAGAGAGATGGGGAGATAGGGCCAGATCAGCGTTTGTTTATGCCCGGATACGTTAAGTTGCCTTTTACCATTGGAGCTTAAATGGTTTACCTCAAGTCTGGCAGCATTTGGAATTTACGCGGGTATCCAGAGCATTTTTCGAGCGAGTAAAGTTGCTCCGCAAATTGTGGAGCAACTTAAATTTTTATTTAATTAGCAGTGGAGTTGATAGTGAGAGGCGGCGGAGGGGGGAGGTTGCGGACCGGCAGCAGTGCAGAGCAGAGCAGAGCAAAGGAGCGCTAAAAATGCTAACTAGCTGGGGCACACTTAATTATTTACTTTATGCATGGCACCTAAAAGTATGCAGCCAGACRGACGGACAGACAGACAAAGCGCCAAAGGGCGAGAGAGCGAGTGTCGAAGAGGGCTAGGAGAGGGGGGAGGTAGAGGGCAGCAAAGTTGTTTGTGCTACTCTCAGGCAATATTAAAATGCACAGCATATTTTCTATGGCAAGATTTGAAGTGGTGCTTTGTGTGTGTGTGTGTGCTTGTGGCACTGTCTGTGTTATAGTCTGCAGCACATTGCTCATACGCCACCGTCACACGGAGAGCAGCTACAGAGAGAGATGCCATGCGGCGCTCTAGCGCAAAACTATAAATATTTAAATATGCAAAATTGATATGCACCCCAGCCGAAGGCAACGCTTATTTTCCATACTCAAGCCCACTTTTCTCGTTTACCCATTCCCCATTTCCCAAATACTTACAGTGCACAATGAGCATGACGCGTTTGCTAACTGTTGGCGGTATGCCATTGGAGGCAATGCAGAGATAGGCGCCCATATTCAAGCGATTCACTTTGGCGATGGTCAGAAACGAGCCATTGTATGCGATAGCTGTGGATGAAGAAACACAGAGCAAAGAGTGGGGGAGAGAGATAGAGAGAGACAAATGCATTATAAATTAATTAAATGCGATATTAAATACTTAGCAAACAATGCAATCAATCATTCAATTCCATATTAAATATTATTTTTATTATTCT